ATAAGTGCACTCACAAGAAGTTATGAATTTGGACATTATAGGTCATTTTTGAAAGTCAACAAAAACACCTTTTTTTGCCAAAGCTTATAACTTGAGCATGGAATATCAAAATGAGATGATACCAACAATGTTGGTTAGAGGACATCTCAAGCTTTCTAAAAAGTCCAGGAACACCTCCAAAAGTTCAAAATTGAAGAAGTTATGCATTGTTGAAGTTGGGCATTTTTGCAAAATTGCCAAAAGTCAACTATCTCAAAAACTTCAAATTTTGTCAAAAGGGTCCATTCTTTTCCACTTGATTTGGTCTTGTCACACTCCACAAGTGTCCTAGCTTCAGCCATGTGTCCATTTATTAATTTTTCTATTTTATTTGATTTTTTATTGAATTAATTCATTTTAAATCAATTTAAATCAAATAAAATCCAAATATTGATTACTTAGGATCTTTTTGGTTGTTATAGCTCTTAATTATCATCATGATCATGATCAAATCCGTATCAAGCTTTTCATGTGAAAAAATATTGGATTTTGGACAAAAGAAGAAAGTTATCAATGGAGGATCAAATCAAATCTCCAAACATCAATGTGCAAAGATTCAAGACCCAAAAGTTGACCTAATCCAATGCTTATTACATATACAAGGCAAAGGCACGAGTTTCAGAGGTTAGAGGCTGCAAGGACACAAAAACCAAACTTGAGAAAACTTGGAAAAAGCTTGAAACTGAAATCCTTCTTAGAGGCGCTTTCAAGAGCAAATCTCAACACCACTCCATTGCTGGGAAATCACTGAGTCAGAAGCAATCAAAAGCAAGCCCTCACACCCTCTCAATCGCGCTGTATGTCTCTCTGAAAACCGCTTTTCATTTGAAATCGCAACTCCATGTTCTTGCATTTTTTTGGCAAAATCTTTGCATATTCATGATCCTTGTTTAATTTGCAAGCTTTCTGCATTAGCCAATTGTATTTATATGGCCTATAACCCCCTAGCCGAATCTAGGGTTCATGGTTTTTGTATTTTGGGTATTTCATTTTCAGGCAAAATCAGTGCAATCAATGGACATGGACGTGATCAGGGAAGGGAGACGAGCATGACCATGGTCTTGGAATTAATTTCCATGGCCTGAAATTGATTTTAGGAGACACCTACGGATTTAGCTGCGGATATAAATCTGTAGGTAAATAATCAGGTTTCAACGAGGAAGACGATGACGCGTCCCCCTCCTATTCGTTGATTCAAATTTCGCGCTTTATTTTTTTTTAATTCTGGCATATTGTTTGTTTTTCCAATATTATTATTGTTGTCCATTCCACTAACAAAAGAAGCGTGATGGTTGAGTGGCAAGGGCGTCAGTTCATAATCCAACAGGACCTGGGTTCGAATCCCAGGTCCCCCAAATGCATTTGTGTTATTTTTCAACAGGTAATTCCATGCAATACCAAGGGCGCGGCACATCATACACCATCACCCAATCATCTGTCAGATGGCCCTAGGCCAGATCTGGTGGTCCAGATGTGATGTCCATCATGCTCTCAAGTCAACCAATGCATAGGGAATCAGAAAGTCAAACGAGGCCTGCATGTTCATGGGCCACAAAATTGCTATCCAAACCTCCTTTAAGGCCCAAATCTCTAACTCTCTCTATTTTCTATTTTATTTCTTTATTTTGTTTAATTATTTTTCATTTAATCACTAACCAATTAAAACTTTTTCTCATTAAAATTAAAACCAAAAAAATATTTTCTTAATTAAATTTAATTTCAGCATTTCTATTTTGTTAATAATATTAATTCAATTAATTTAGTTTAATTAGGTATAACTTTTAATATTTTTGCAATAATTAAAATTAATTTAGACGATTAGGTTTTTATTAACTTTGACCAAATTTATTTTTATTTCCTTAAATATCAAAAACTCCAAAAATATTTTTATTAATTAATTAATTAATTTGTTAATTTAATGTTTAACCTAATTTAATTTCTTTTTAATTCAAAAAAATAACAAAAAAATGCTTTCTTTCAAAAAAGGGTCAAAACCCTAAAAAACTCACATTCGATTTAATTTCCCGCACGTGTACCATTTTATTCAATATTGTATCTGTTTCTCGGAATGTAATAGTTTTAATAGGACTTTAATTATTTTATCGCTTTATTTATTTTCCGCATTTTAATTTCAAGGGTTGCTTTTGGCGATGTAAATACCCGACGCCTTGTAATAGTTAGTTTAATTTCCGCAATTTAATTTCCGCAACTTATAAACTGTTAGATGTTTGATAATAGGGAATGCATGACAAGATCAAATGTTTAAACCTAAAATCAACAAAGATAACCATTGACATGTACAAAGATAAGATTAACCGAAATAACACACTCGCACATGCGCACTCTTAGGGTACACCTCGCTTGGTTGCCTTCGAACGTCGTCATTGAGTAAAGGAAGTTTTAGAGGTCGCCCTCTTGTCCAAAGATCATAGTTGCCTCGAAACGGTTGCCTCGAAAAAATGATCTAAGACATTAAGGTTACCGCTAAGGCGTCCTAACATTGCTTTAGTGACCGCACGTCCCTTAATCGAATTGACCCTTAAACTCCAACGACGGTGCTACCTACTCATTCATAGTGGGATAGCATTGTCTAAAGGACATTAACACAGATTGATTCCTTTTTCGAGTAGGTAGATGGTTCTTAAGTACTTGCTCATTTCAAAACAAAATAAAACTTTTCGCACTTACACCTTTCAAACCAAAACTCTTTTCAAACCCACAAACACAAAGAAAAAGCAAATTTTGAAAACACTTTGAGCAAGTACCTAAGAGACCATGGATAACCATGGATAGAAAGGGTGCTAACACCTTCCCTTTCTATAATCTACCCCCGGACCCGAGAAACATCTCGAAAAAGGAATTTTTCTGTGCTTTTTTCCTTTCCTTGTTGGATAAAATAAAAGACGGTGGCGACTCTTGCTTACCGCGACATTTTGCGAAAACAAACGCAAAACGCAAACCAGCATTCCAAAAATACTCAGTTCTCTCCCACCGTATCACAGGGAGGATTTGACTGCTGCCTTCTACAAGCAGTATCAATATAATGCAGACTTAGCACATACTCGTACTCAATTACAGAGTATGGGTATGGTCTCGAATGAAGGTTTTAAGGAGTATGCCCAGAAATGGAGAGACTTGGCGGGACGAGTTCAACCACCTCTATCTGAGAGGGAGCTTGTAGATATGTTCTTGGGTACATTGTCAGGGCCTTTCTTCAATCACCTGATAGGAAGTTCGTCTGTGGGGTTCACCGAGTTGATTCTAACTAGTGAAAGAGTTGAAGCCGGAATCAAGAGCGGTAAAATTCAAAAAGATGCATCTGCTTCCGCTGCCATCAAAAAGACTTTTTCAGCAAAGAATCAAGACTTTTCTCTATTTTTTAAGAATATAAGCCCTTTTATTATTTTAATTGTATTTTATTCTTATTTATTTCAATTCAAAAAATATATATATTAAGTTTAGTTTATTTGATTTAATTTTATACATAGTTGTTATTAGCATTGTTATTATTATTTTTTGTTATCATTATTATTATTATTATTATTATTATGCTATTTCTATTTGTCTTATTTGTCTCCTTGTGAAAAATGTCTAAACAATAAGCTCCAAAACTGCTGCACTAGTTTTTATCCAATGTTGTCCCAAACCTGCCCTTGCTGTCTATATAATGTCAAGAAAAATCTGTCAAAGATCTATCCATAAACAGTCTGAAATTCTGTAGAGAAGAGTCCAAAACCTGCCTGATACTACAACAACAATTGTCCAAGAATTACACTAACTTAGCAAATCAAAAACTGCACTAGAAAGCATTACAACAGAGCACTCTAACTGTTCAAATGGATCAAAATCTTCCCTCCAATTTCACCTCTGATCTACTATAAATAGGAGGAAGAAAAAAAAGATAGAAAAATTAGAGGAAGAAAAGTGAGAAGAAAAAATCAGATGAAAATAGGGAAGAAAAATTAGATGAGGAGAGTTATGCTGTCAAATTGAAAGAGAAGAAATCTTCTCCCAAACAATTTTCAACCTGCAAGAAGAGGATTCACCGCAACAGTTTCAACAATATTTTCCAGCAACACAAATTTTAAGAATTTCTAGAGTTAAGTGGAAGGAATAGAAGCATTATTACCTCATCTCTGGTTTTATTTTCTTATACTTATCGGAGTCGGTAAACTGTTGGACTAGCTCCGACCATGTAAGAGCTTCTTGCTTTCCTTTAATATCTTACTGTGTTATATTATTGATTGTACACATAGATTAAAATTGTTGCCGAAAATTGTTGCTTATGCCATGTTGCAAATTTGTGTTGTTACTGTTACAATAGAAATAAAATTGGAAAACTAAATCTTATTTTTGTTGTTGTTAAATCATGAAAAACAAAGATGTAAAAAAAAAGGCCAAAACACAACTAGAAATCCAAAGAAATATTACACAAAAATATTGGTGCATACCTCAAATCTTTCCAACACTCTCATCTACAACCTCTTCTCCATAACTTCACTCATTCATCACGTCATAACAGAACTTACCCACAAGCAAGAACCCTTCAAACTCTTCAACCTTTTCTACCCTAAACCTACTGCAAGGCATAAATTCCACGGTTTGCAGTAGAGCTTCATCAACACCCTCAATATGCAACAAAAAAGAAATTGCAACACTGACATTCCGCTACTTACAGCAAGCAATATGCATAATAACATCACGAAAATCAGAAGGAGTGGAAGAGAAATTCAAAAGAACCTGAGAAGCTACGACCAGAGCTGTCGCTTTCATTGCCGTCGGGGTAGGCTCGTATTGGATTTTATTTGCGGTGTTTGAAGGTGGAGGGTTATTGAACCGGATCTTGAAAATTGAATCGGTTGAGATGTAGAGAGGAATGGGATCAGTTGAGGTTAAGAGAACAGAATCATAAGAACATAGGTGAATTTGAGAGTGAGAAACAATGAAGAAGGTTTTGTTTGTTAGTCTGTGTTTCGAGTTGAGAAAATCGTAGAGGAACAGAGAGATTCTTCTCTTACTGTTAAACAATTTGAGAGAGAAAAATGATGAAGTAGTGTAAGCATGAAACAATTTGAAGAGAGATTGATGGATATCAGAGAGTTGAAAGGAGCGTTAAAAAGCAGAGAGAGAAAATGTGTTCTGTTTGTTCCAAATCTTGTCTTTAATCCCATTTAATTAGGAATATTGGTGAATTAATGAGGACCAAATCCCCTTCCCAAGGCTACCAGCGGCGCCAAATTCATGCCACTAGGGTTTCCAAAACCCTTCATATCCTTTCTCAAACTGGGCTGGTGTTGGGCCCATTTTCTTTGGCCCAATCCATTATCATTATTAGCCTTTTCTTTTAATTAAATCATAGTAATAACAATTAAAGAACACAGTTCACTTGGCAAGGCTAGTATACTGCAATCTAAGAGAATGCGAGTTCAACACCTTGCCAAGACATTTTTATTTTGTTTTTGTTAACTCTTTAACCTTATTCCAAAAAAAAAAAAAATTAGTAAATCTTATAATTAATTTAGTTTAGTATTAATTTAGAATTCTTTAATTAGTTTAGATTTTGTTAACTCTTTAACCTTATTCCAAAAAAAAAAAATTTGTAAATCTTATAATTAATTTAGTATTAATTTAGAATTCTTTAATTAGTTTAGATTTATTTTATAACTTTAAAATGTTTAGAATCATAATTAGTAACTTTAGAATTTTCATTTAATTTAGATTTAAGTTAATAGCTTTAGAATTTTTATTTGATTTAGATTTTGTTTAGTAGTTTTAGAATTTTTATTTGATTTAGAATTTGTTTAATAACTTTAGAATTTTTATTTGATTTAGATTTAGCTTAGTAATTTTAGAATTTTTATTTGATTTAGAATTAGTTTAATAACTTTAAAAAATTTATTTGATTTAGAATTAGTAACTTTAGAATTTTCATTTGATTTAGATTTAAGTTAATAGCTTTAGAATTTTTATTTGATTTAGATTTAGTTTAGAAGTTTTAGAATTTTTATTTGATTTATAATTTGTTTAATAACTTTAGAATTTTTATTTGATTTAGATTTAGCTTAGTAATTTTACAATTTTTATTTGATTTAGAATTAGTTTAATAACTTTAAAATTTTTATTTGATTTAGAATTAGTAACTTTAGAATTTTCATTTGATTTAGAATTTTATTTGATAACTTTAGAATTTTTATTTGATTTAGATTTAGCTTAGTAATTTTAGAATTTTTATTTGATTTAGAATTAGTAACTTTAGAATTTTTATTTGATTTAGATTTAGCTTAGTAATTTTAGAATTTTTATTTGATTTAGAATTAGTTTAATAACTTTAAAAAATTTATTTGATTTATAATTAGTAACTTTAGAATTTTCATTTGATTTAGATTTAATTTAATAGCTTTTGAATTTTTATTTGATTTAGATTTAACTTAGTAATTTTAGAATTTTATTTGATTTAGAATTAGTTTAATAACTTTAGAATTTTTATTTGATTTAGAATTAGGAACTTTAGCATTTTCATTTTGATTTAGATTTAATTTAATAATTCTAGAATTTTTATTCGATTTAGATTTAGTTTAGTAACTTTATAATTTTATTTGATAACTTTAGAATTTTTATTTGATTTAGATTTAGTTTAATAACTTTAGAATTTGTATTTGATTTAGATTTAGTTCAGTAGTTTTAGAATTTTATTTGATTTAGATTTAATTTAGCAATCTTGGAATTTTAATTTAGTTTAGATTTAATTTACTAATTTTAAAATTTTAATTTAGTTTAGATCTAATTTAGTAATTTTAGAACTATTTTTACAACCTTAGAACTTGTAGTTAGTTTAGAATTATTTTAGTAAGTAATCTTAAATTTTTAATTTAGTTCAAATAACTTTTTTAGATAATTAGTTACATTCTCTTTTATTTGTATTTAAATATCTCTGTAATTTTAAAACTTACACCTTTTAAGTCAAAACTTCGATACTAGGTGGTCGTATCTTCGATATCTCATTCACACTCATTTCGACCAAACAAACAAAAAAAAATCCCTTTTACTTGAATTTATTTTAAACCCGCAAAACACTCAACAAATCAAAACTCCCCCAAAGGGCATGTTATCTCCGTTCTACCGCGATACCGGCCGTGCATATTGCTAGAATGTGTGTGTTAACGTCGCCCACTAAAAAACACAAACAAACCAACCATTTTCTAGAGGAACTACGGTGTTCTGATTCCTTCATTGGATACGTAGGCAAAGGATCACGAAACCCCCACGAATGCAATAATAAAAACCATTCATTTCCCTTTAAGCAAGCATAGTTGTAGATAAATACACCCTTTAAGACAAACAAACAAAATGGATCCCGTTGAGTACGACAGATGTGAGGGGTGCTAATACCTTCCCCTCGCATAACCGACTCCCTTACCCTTTCTCTTGGTTGCAAGACCATCTTATCCATTCCCTTGTGGTTTTATCGATATTCCCCCTTCCTTCGGGATAAATAAAGTTCGGTGGCAGCTCTGTGTTTTCTGCCGGTAGCTTTAGCTGGGGACTTTAGTGAGTCTCTCCTAGTTTTGTTTATTTGTCTTTTTGGGTATTTATTTATTTGCTTTATCTTGCTTTACTGTTTTATTTCTTTATTTATTTTATTCTTTTGTATATATTGCATATATTGTTGCTACTCACATATTCTGGATACATTGTGATGTTAGGTTTGGTGATTACTTTTGATAAGTCATATACCCGGACTTGGGTTACACATAGGATTAGGACGGGCGGTATAGTCATGTTAACTTTGAGGGAGTAATCCCGAAGAAGGAGGCATGAAAATCCCCCACTTAGTGGAGGTCCCCTTGAAAGTAGTGATGTTTACCGAGTAATCGAGAAGACGTTGTTGCTTTCGACCTGGGAACTCGAGAAGCTGAGGGCCGTAGAATCATTAACCCATCCTGGCCTTTTAGGTGCAGTGCGGAGACTATAACGGGGTAATCCGAAAGTAGTTGTCACGCGATATTGCACTCGGACGAGTTTTTCCTGCGAATATTACTGATTACCAAGTAATTGGGACGTCGGTAATATCCAAAGGAAGAATGTAGACTTCGAGAACTCTTTAGAACCTTGTTCGGCAGGTGATAAATCCCTAGTACATACCTCGTGGGTGGTTACTTTGACTCCATGTCTGTGACGTCGAACTTTTGATCCTGTTACTCTCAGCCTGTGCAATGGACTACGCAATGGTTATCCAGAATATGTGGAGCTGAGACTTCATGCCATAGCATACCATGACATCATATCATCGTGTATATATATTTCATATCTAGAGAAACCCAAAGACAAGTCTCGTCGATATAGCTTTTCAAAAGAAATTTTAAAAAGATAGACGAGTCTTTGGGTCTCCTCAGAAATGAAGATAAAGCATTTATCCATACTACCATGCATTCATTTTTCACAACAAAAACTCATTGGGGTCCCCTTTCTCAGAATCCAGTAAACAGCAAAGACGACTCATCCAGATCCTTACGGTACCAGAGGCAACCAGTAAAGGCTAATGGATCTTTTTGAAGAGAATCAGAATGGACTCCGTCGGGATATGGACACTATGGGTACTCACATGGATCAACTTATGGAAACCCTTCATTCCGTGATCAAGGGTCAAGAAGAACTACACCAAAGTGTTTCCAAGCTTACTACTGCTGCTCCTTCCACTTCTGTTAATGGGAGAAATGACAATGCAAATGTTGAGACTCCTACTGGTGCTCTTAGGAATGATGTCGACGATCATCATGATGTCATTGATCTTGATGAACCCCAAGTGAACCTTGCTGTCGGGGTTGCTGAAACTGCGAAAATGTATCATGCTCTCGAAGAGCGACTTAGAGCCATGAAGGGTATCAAGGCTTCCGGATTTAATACTGCTGCAATGTGCCTCGTGCCTGGGGTAGTTATTCCTCCCAAGTTCAAAGTCCCAGAGTTTGACAAATACAAAGGCACTTCTTACCCATAGACTCATCTCCGTTCCTATTGTCCAAAATGGCGGCCTATGCTGAAAATGAACATTTACTCATGCATTTCTTTCAAGACAGTTTGACCGGGGCATCGTTGGATTGGTATATGCAATTGGAAAGATCTCATGTCAGTACTTGGGGAGAGCTTGCTGATGCTTTTTTGAAACATTACCATTACAATACTGCCATGGCTCCTAGTCGTACTCAGCTCTAGGGGATGGTACAAAAATCTGAAGAGTCTTTCAAAGAATACGCTCAGAGGTGACGTGAACTAGCTGTAAGGGTCCAACCTCCTCTCTTGGATCGTGAATTAATTGATCTGTTTATGGGTACTCTGCGAGGCCCTTATCTCCAGCATATGCTTAGTAGCACTTCCACTTCTTTCTCGGATATGGTCATTATTGGTGAACGTGTTGAGACGTGCATTAAGGCTGGAACGATTCAAGGTGTTCCTAACAATGTTAACAACAATGCAAGCATTAGTAGAAAACCCTTTTATGGTTTTGTTAAGAAGAAAGAGGGTGAGACCAGTGCCATCGCCGTCAACCAAGGAAGAGCTCCCACATTTCCTCAAGTCTGATTCCCTTATTTTCCTACACCTGCTGCTGTTCCCAACCAATTTGTTCCTCAAGTATATGCTGCTACAACTCCAGCACCCTGGATGGCCCAACAACGGCCTTTTGCTCCGCAACTACATTATGTTCCACAACAACAATTTGCACCTCTTCCAACCTATCAACAACCGAATCAACATCTCCAAGGCCCGAGAGCTCCTCAAAGACAGAGAGCCCCTGAAAGAAGATTTGATCTCATTCCCATGTCCTACGCTCAGCTTCTCCCATAGTTACTTGCTAGTCAAATGGTTCAATTGCATGAACTCGGTCCACCGCCAAATCCTCTCCCTAGGGGATATGATAGTAATGCTCATTGAGAATTCCATTCTGGTGCCCCAGGCCATACAATTGAAAATTGTAGAGCATTCAAGTGCAAAGTTCAAGATCTCATCGATGCAAAAGCCATCAACTTCAACCCTGTTGGTCCGAATATTCAAAATAATCCCATGCCTCCTCATCAAGGGGGAACAGTCAATGTTATTGAAGAAGTTAATGAACGGGTTTTGGTATCAAAGGTTGATGAAATTAAGATATCTTTGGAAACTGTCAGAGAACATTTGT